TGTGTGTGTGTGTGTGTGTGTCGTGAGGGTTGGGGGCATTATACTTTAAATAATGTACTTTTACTTGTTAATCTTAAAACTGAAGCTCGGGTCAATATGACATATTGAATAGATTGCTGAGTAGATATTGCTAAGAAAAGTAATCTGAGTACGTCATGTAAAGATATAGTTTGGGGTTGCTATACCTTGAGTGGAACGTTTGTTTATCCCCCATCCATGAATTTCGGAAACTGGCTTTTGGTGCCTTATTATTGTTTTGTTTTCTACGTGAGTCATTTTGGCATCGTTTATTGCCGTTCATGTTTAAAAGGAATCAGATCTACGATAAGGGCTTCGCTAGTGTTTTAGATTTAAAACTAGAACAAGAGTCGGGATACAAAGACATCATTCTTTTTCTCGCTCAAGCCCAACCTTCTATCTTTTCATCACAACAAAATAACGAAGAAAAAAATCATGCCCTAAGCCAAAAAGAAAGCTGAATGCTCCATAACCTAACCATGTAAACAGAGGACTACACAACAATGTTATTGTAACTAAAAGAGCAAAAACAACAACAAGAAACCAACAAGAAAAGACAAGAAGTGGACTTTAAGTAGTCATTTTATGGCCTTTAAGAAGCATCAGGATTTAGCTACGTGAATAAGTTGTATGAGATAATAAGGTTCTATCTGTATTTGCATGTGTTGCACACTACATGGTTTATTTTTGTATATCGTTTTGTTTTTATTTTCTTTCCATTTCTATCTGCAACACACTACGCAGTAATCCGCGTTCCTTTCAGGAATGACCAATCTGCTCCGATAAAAATACTCACGAAAAAGGTTCTATCTGCTTTTGCAGGTAAAATGGTATGAATATCTCAAACGTACCTAATGTGCTGGTAGAAAGCTTTTAAACTTATACGGGGTGCCCACTACGGATGGGATCGGCTGATCGGGCCGATCGCGCCGACTCGATCGCCTCAAAAACAAACGTGTTTGTTTTCAATTTCAGGCGATGGAGTCGGGCGAATGGCCCGATCCAGCCGTAGTGGGCACCCCGCATTAAACGACGAATTGGCAATTTCATGTCACACCTACGTTAGATGGGCAATGGATCTTCGCACTGTTTTTTCGACTGGAACCATTGGAACTTTAAAAGTTTCGAAGATGGTTCATCACTTGGCAGACAGAGTGACTTTCGTCAAAAGAATGAGATGCTCAAGCTGTTACTTATACAAAAATGTATTTCTGAAACAGAATTTTTTTTTAAATGTAGAGCAATTTGACATGCCAAGCTCTAGAGCACATCCACTTGCAGAGTCCTGAATAGCTTTTCATTATGAAGCAGTAAGAAGTGCTTTTGACAGTCGTACATGTCAGTGCAAAAGATGATTTTTTTCTGACAGCTCTTGTCGAGTGTACATTGAATTTTATCGATCGTGTCAGAATGTCCCGTCAATACGATCTGAGTATGACTGGACAGGAAGAAAAAACCAAAGTGTGAATGTATCATTATAACCCATAAAGTGTTTAGGCCGTTAGCAGAAACTTTTGAACAACTGATTGTATGCTTACTTTAATCTTTGAAAAAATGACTAAGCGCGCGCGCGCTCGCGCAGGTACACACATAGACACCCCCCCCCCACACACACACCAAACACGGCACATAAAAAACCTACCTTGTATGGTGACGTTATACATGTGTCTGGCCAGCTGTGTGCCATTCCTGGGGTCAGAACCGTCTCCTAGACTACTATCCACGGCGTGGGCGTAGAGCAGCACTGCGTCGTGTGTTAGGCCCGCGTGAATGCCGTACTGAGGGAAACAAGAAGAATCACAATGAGAAAAAGAACACTCAGACTGGGGGAAAAGAACAAGAACAATCCCAGTGGAAAAAGAAAAAGAACACTCACTCTGGGAAAAAGAATAATCATACTGAAAAAACCCTCAAAACAATAACACTACAAAAAAGAACAATCACACTGAGAAAAAGAACAATCGCATTTTGAAGAAACAATAACGTTAGGACTAATTTCGTCAAACTATGCGAGTGTCAAATGAACTTATAACAGGTTTCTTTGAAAAAAAATTAACCCCAAGCCCTAAGCTAGACGAAGAATTCTGATATTTCTTCTCTAGACATCCTTCAAAGACTTAATTTAAACGACGTGGGCGACTACAAGAAGATAACCCAAGTCCTGTCAATGCCAATCTCTTCTGTACGCGTAGCTCTTGATATTAAACAAACGAATTTTTAAAAAAGTATCGTCCATCAAATCCTCATCTAAGGGGGGGGGGGGTTATTATGTTAGAATTCCTTTGAACGAATGCTTTCGTTTACCTTGAAAGAACATGTTGAGAAATATTAGTACTGTGCTTGGAAACGGTTTGGGTCGGTATTTGAAAACCAAAAGAAAACGGAAAGAAATTATCCGTGTTGATCCCAGCCAGAGAATATTATTATATCATCTACCAAAGTTCGTTGTCCTGAAATATCGAATTATTCTTCCTTCGGAAAGTCCGCATGCATCATATTTTTTGTTAGAAAATTATTGGCTTTCAGGGTATAGTTTTCATTTTCGCCTTTTCTACGATCAAACACTCATCGGAACTTATTACATTACCTTTAACACCTTTGCAAAGTGGGTTTTTAAAAAAGTATCATTATCATAATTAACAGCGAGCATAAAGACAAAAATATTGCACGCGTTGACAAGCAAGGAATGTGATATTTTAGACCAAATCGATAAGCGGAAAACTTCCTGATTTCCCTTATTCATATCATTGACTAACGGTGCACTGAGTACAAGAAGAGGTCGGTGTGACCGAAGGAATGGGCTCTCCGATTATCTATCTATCTGTCTATCTATCTATCTATCTATCTATCTATCTATCTATCTATCTATCTATCTATCTATCTATCTATCTATCTATCTATCTG